TGCCAAGCATGAAATAACACATAGTTGGCACAAAATATTTTATAATTGGCATAATGATAAAAAACTGAAAACCATTGGTTATGTTGTTTGCCAGTCAATGTGTCAAAACTACATAGAAATTAAAACCTCCCCACTCTATCCTGAATTCAGAACTGGGAAGACAACAGGAAACAACTTACCTAGATTTAAAAAATTATCATGGCAGTTCAGAGATAATAAACAAAGTGAATCTCTGCTGATGCTCTGAAAGAATATAGTGTTTAAAAAAACGATAATTATTTAAAATCTAGAGATTTTAGATAATTATCACTTTTTAAACACTATATTCTTTCAAACATTAATGAAGACGTCACTTCACAGCAGTAGTAGGCAGAAGGGTGAGGCAGAGGGTGTGATGGCTGCAGGCATCCATTCAGGCGGGCATCCAATCAAAGAGTGAAATAAAAATTTAGTTTATTTAATTTGAATAAAGTGTTTATTTCATGTTTCATCTGTTTTTACATATTTAAAATGTCTTCCTTTCTCACATTTCTCCATACTAGGCTCTATAGCCCCCCCACCCCCTGCTCCCACTTGAGTTTTAGGAGCATACAATCAAACCTCTGCACATCACTGCGAAGATGTTACTTCACAGATTCCTCAAAAATCAAAAGAAGATTATGTTTTAAGTAGAAAAAGGCCAAAATAAACATGGCACTGCAAATATCCTGATATTATGTGAATGTTGATCAGAGCATCCTCTCTACGTGCTACCAAAGTGTTCAGGCTTCTTACTACCAGTTAGAAACAGCAACCCAGTACCTCATAATGAAAAGTCGGAACCACTGTTCAGTCAGATCACCAAAAAGTTAAAATAATTAAATCATTATTGCCATAAAGAAAGGAACTTGTAAACTATATTCTAAACAGGAAAGGAGTGATAAACCTCTACTCCTGTTCAAAAAACATGGAAGCTGTAATAGCCAAGTGATAGATGACAACCATCTATTATTGTTCTCTCTCCTTAATAATGTTTTCTTTTTCTCATATTGGCTTACACCCAGATCATGTTGAAACACTGGTTCCCATATGATCACAGAAGTTAAGCAATGTACCAAACTACTCCATTTGAGACATTTATCAAGGCAAACCTTTTACTTTTCAAAACAATCTGCAAAGTTCACTTTGGGGATAACTATCATGTGCATTGTTCTATTCCTCTTAAAGCTTTTGCTGCATCATGTTGAAACACTCATTCCTGTACAATTATCAAAGTTAAGCAACATCAAACCTGGTCAGTACATAGATGGGTGACCACTTGGAAATACCAGGTTCTCTAAGTTTGGGTGTGTGGGCGATGTAAGGGATAATGGCTTGGAATTTTTAATCGGAGAGCCAAGATCCAGTTCCCATTGGGTTTGTTATATTCACTTACATGCAAATACCATTGAGAAAGATATGACTTCTTTTCCCTCAGCTATGGATTAATTAGTAAGACTTTTATCCCTAAACCATTATTATTACAAAAAATTCTTACAATCTAAATATATTTCCTGGCTTTAAATAATCTGCATTATTCTAAGCATAGAAAACAAATCAATCAATCAAATCATTTTTATCATATTCTCTCGCACTCAGTAACCCCTTGCATCTTAGTGTCTTTATAGCCTTGCCTTACATGAAAAGACAACCTGTATATATTTCTTAACATGCTTTTATTGATATTTTGGTTCCTCTGTTGACAATATTAATGGAAATATTTACTCTGTTTGATTATTCATAATTATCTTAATTATTCATAATTATCTTTCAAATTTATATTGTCCATCAATAAAATTGTTGCTATCAAGTTGCTTATTTTATCACAGGCAGCTTTAGCCAGACATTAATTTTTGCTGATTATTATCTGAAATTTATAATGAAAGAATTTTGTACCAACATTTAATTTAACATTTGGGACATAACTTTCATATAAGAACGACACATGTAATTAAAATGGATGAAATACAAGAAGGGTATTTTTATACTGCATTGCACCAGGCTGTCTCAATAACCATCATCTCATAATTTTGGAAAACTCCCCAAAGACCTTTGCCAAATTAGCACAGGAAATGGTAACTCTGTGTCAAGCACTTTTAGAAGTGCTTACATCAATCAGAATACCATGTAGAGAAGTCAAAATATTTTGTTGAAGGATTTATTTAACTAATGTTCAACAGCTAAAAGAACACTTGTATTATGTGAGCTATAATTTACAGAGAGCTGTTTGAAATTATGAGAAGATTGTCATTATTTAGATGTTGATATTTAATGAAGCAGAAATGTCAGAAGAGATTAGAAATTAAATACAATACAAATTAAATACGCCAGGAAATTTTTCTCCCCGGAATCGATCCTTCAGATCTACAAATCAACAATTTGCCCTTGAGCATGGAGTATTGCTGCCATATATGATCTGGAGCCCCTTCTGTTTGTCTCAGGGTTCTTGATAAGATCCAGAGGCGGATATGCAATATAATTAGCCCTGTTTTGGCATCTTGTCTACAGTCGCTCTCTCACAGACAAGCCGTCGCCTCTCTCTGTCTTTTTTACAAATACTTTCATGGTAATTGCTTCGAGGAGCTGCATTCACTGGTTCCCAGACTTCATCAGTTCAAGCGCCCTACGAGGCTAGCATCCCGCTCTCACCCTTTCACTGTCGAAACTATTAAATATAGCCATCTCTTCTACTCCAATAGCTCCATATCTCGCACCTCTCGCCTGTGGAACTCCCTTCCCTATTCCAGTTTCCCTGAGAGCTATAATCTCCAACTATTCAAATGTAATGTCAATCGACATCTCCAGTTGCCTTGATCTACCCACTATCCTTCTCCTCATCCTTTCCTCTATCACTCCTATCTGATCTTGCTCCAAATCTTCTGTAACCCCTTGTGTCCTAGTGGCTTCCCGCCTTGCTTGGGGTGAAACGCTTAAAAAAAAAATAATGATTACAAGAATTAAGCTTCAAATAATCAGAACCATTTAAGTGTAGTACTAGATTGGCAGTAAGGTCTCATCATTTTACAATTGAAATGGCTAAATGTAACCATAAGTTCTATGCTAACAGTTTCTTCAATCACACTTTTTCTTGTGGAACTCTTGTCTGTCTTCAGACTTCTCAGTCTATTTTGATCTTCAACACTTTAAATGGAATATTGATCATTATCTACTTCTTAATTCTTGTTCTTTTATGGTTCTCTCTCCTTAATAGTGTTTATTCTCATATTCTCTAACCCTCAGTAACCCCATTATGTCTTAGAGGCATTATTGCCTTACATGGGGTAAAATGATTTTAAAAAATGTAATAAAAATTTTGAAAAGAAATATCAAAAACAAAAATATGGATAATGTAAAAATTTATATTGAATATTAACAACTCCAGAAGAAAAAATATCCCAGGTGAAGCACTCTCTCTCCTCTGCCGCATTTCCCTCTCCCTTTCTTTCCTCCCTATTCTCCCCTCCCTCCCTTTCTCTCCCTGTCCCCTCTACCTCTCTCTCAACTTTCTCCCCATCTCTCTCACTGTTCCCTCTCCTCCTCTTTCCCTTTCTCCTTGTCCCTTCTCTCTCTCCCCATCTCTCTCTTCCCACCTCTCTTCCCATCTCTCTCCTTGTTATCTCTGCCTCTTTCTCCACTATCTCTCCCTGTCCCCTTCTCCCTCTACATTCTCCCTCTGCCTTTCTCCTCCCCTCTCCCTGTCCTCCCCTTCTCCCTCCCCACACTTCTCCCCTGCTCATTCCTCTCACTCTTTCTCTCTCTCTCTCTCAATCTCTCCATGTCTTCCTCCCCATTTCCAACTCTCTTCCATCCCTCCTTCTAACTGTCCCCACTCTCTATCACCTGTAAAAAACAGACAGGAAATGAGAACTGAGAATACAGTAAAAGAAGAATGGATGCAAAAAATCCCCAAAACGTTTCTGGTTTTCTGATCAAGAAGCTTCGGTAAACCCTGACAGTCAAAGGAATAACTAAAGAGCTGTAATGAACAACCAATCAAACCTGTTAAGAATTGACTTGGCATCTGCTTTTATTTACAGGAATTTTCAGGATTTTCCTTTATTCTTAATGACTTGTCTGCTTCTTATTTATTTCCACAGGTTTTCATTTGTTTTTGTTTGTTTTTTTCATCTGTTTTCTTTACCTTTTTCTTCATTTCAAGATTTTCTCTTCGTTTGTTTTGGAATGCATTTTTTTATTTCCTTTTCACGGTTGTTTATTTTCTCCCCACTTTTTTCTTAATTGTTTTTTCAATTTTTAAAATTTTTTTTTATGTTTTCCCATGTTTCATTTTATTATTTAAAAAAAAATCCTTCTGATTTCCTTTGTTTTCCTTTTCTTCTTGAAATTTCATTCTTCTCCCTCTCCCTTCTTTTCTGTCAATCTCCACCCCATTTTGATGATCTTTTATCATTTTTATTGTTCTTGTGATTTTTTTTTTTAAATTGTTTTTTCTTCTCAGCTGTCAATAAGTACTGTACATATTTTTCATGCTTTTCATATATCTATTAAGTATTTTTCAATTTGTTTATTTGTTTACTCGGTGTCAGTTCCTCGTGTAGGATTTTCTCTCATTTGATTGGTTCAGTTTTGTTAGTGTTTTGATGTCATGTGCAATTGATGTCCATTTGTGAATGAGATTCTGTTAACTTGCTGTCATGATAGCACTTATACAAAACAGAACTAATATCAGAATCTGGGGTAGAGCAGTTGTTCTACTAGAATCTTTTGTAAAGTGAGGGGTAAGAAAGTAGGAGAAAAAAGACAAGAAAAAGATTATGAGAAAAGTTATAATAAAAAAGGGGGAAAAGGAAAAAAGAAATGAAAAAAACAGAAAGGGTAAAAACAAGAAAAAGGTTTAAAAAGAAATGAAAAGGAATGGGAGGAAAAAGAAAGGAAAAAAGGTTAAAAAAAATGAGTAGAAAAAGAGAAAAAACACAGGCAAAACATAGGAAAATGAATGAAAGAGAAAAGGAGAAAAAAGCCTAGGTGGAAATTGAGAAAAATGATGGAAAAGAAGAAGAAAATTTGGAAGAAAAGGAGAAAGGAGAAGAATGGAAGAAAAAAGAGTTACAGAGAAAAATAATCAAAATAAAAAAGAAAAGAAATAAAAATGTTAAGTTTAATAAAAGTCTTTAAAATATTATATAATGAAGGTAAATCAGAAAGTGAAATAGGCAAATCAAATTCCTGCTTCATCTATTGCATTTACTTTCACACTGATACCTTTCAGAAAGACATGAATCAATCTCATCTCCCTCCAAATATAGGTTAAATAACTGTAGACTAGGCTCTCTAACCCTAGCTCTAGGCAGTATAGGAGAATGTGACCTCTGAATTCAAAACCATAGAGAAGTGTATGAGAAACCACTCCACTATCTTTCCCAAGGAGTCATAAGAATTCCCAGATAATAATAAAAACAGAAATCTACAGAGAGCCATGATTGCCTATATTTTGAAGGGATGTAGCATTTAGAAGCAAAAGATAATTCTATCATAGTTTTAAGATAATGGTAGTAGTCAGATAAATCACTTCCATACTCAAAACATTCAACATTCATTGAACAAAATTCAGCATTACAGTTGGTTAAATCTTTCTCTTAAAACAATTTTAGAGGAAAATGTTTCTCAAGTGTATTATTATGCCTTTTTCTAATATTCATAGAGATTTCCTTCCATATAATTAGTTTAAAGTAATATAGAAAGTCAGCATCTTCAGTATGTCATTATTTTATCTTCTAGTTATAAATACTATCCATTTAACCTGTTGTTGTGTTGGAAGTCTTCAAGTGATGTAATTTTTGTTATTTAGTAAAGGTGAAACAAAGAGGGTATAAACAAATGAGAAAAGGAAGCAATGAATGAAAAGGGAAAGAAAGCAAAAGGTGAATGAGAGAAAAGAGAAAGGAGAGAAAAGGCGGATGAGTGAAAAGGGAAATGAAGCAGGGGATGAATGAAAGAAAAGAAGCAAAGAGTAAATGAGAAAAAAGGGAAAAGAAAGAAAGGGCAAATGATTGAAAAGGGAAATGAAGCAAAGGAGGAATGAAAGAAAAGAAGCAAAGAGTGAATGAGGGAAAAGGGAAATGAAGCAAAGGGTGAATGAAAGAAAAGCAGCAAGGGATGAAAGAAAAGAAGCAAAGGGTGAATGAGTGAAAAGAGAAATGAAGCAAAATGGGAATGAAAGAAAAGAAGCAAAGAGTAAATGAGAAAAAAGTGAAAAAGAAAGAAAGGACAAATGATTGAAAAGGGAGAGGAAGCAAAGGAGGAATAAAAGAAAAGAAGCAAAGAGTGAATAAAAGAAGCAAAGGGTGAATGAGTGAAAAGGGAAAGAAAGCAAAGGGTGAATGAAAGAAAAGAAGCAAAGAGTGAATGAGGGAAAAGTGAAAAGAAAGAAAGGGTAAAGGATTGAAAAGGGAGAGGAAGCAGAGGAGGAATGAAAGAAAAGAAGCAAAGGGTGAATGAGAGAAAAGGGAAAGGAAAGAAAAGCCTAATGTGTGAAAATGGAAAGGAAGCAAATGCTGAATGAAAGAAAAAGGAACGGAAAGAAAGGGTGAATGAGTGAAGAGGGAAAGGAAAGAAAGGGTGAATGAGTGAAGAGGGAAAGGAAGTAAAGGGTGAATAAAAGAAAAGAAGTAAAGGGTGAATGAGAGAAAAGGGAAAAAAAAGAAAGGGTGAATGAGCAAAAAAATGAAAAGAAGCAAAGGTTGAATGATAGTTAAGAGGTTTAAAGCAAATGTGAGATGAAGGAAAAGAAGAAAAAAAGTGAATGGTGTCTGAAGAAATGGAAGGAAAGTAGAAATATAGGGTGTGGAGGAAATGAGTGAAGGAAGCAATGATTGAATGAGAGTTCAAGGTAAGAAATCAAAGACTGAATGTGCGATGTTAGAAAGAGAATGCAATTTGTGAATGTCAGATGAAGGAAGGAGAACAACGGTTGAATGAGTGAAATGAAGCAGTTGATGAATGAGAGATCAAAGGAGGAAAGCAAATTGTGTAGGAAAGATGAGAGAAAGGACAAAATGCTTGAATGGTAGATAACTAAGGGGAAATAAATGGTGAATTAGAAATCAGGGAGCAGATGCAGAGGCTAAATCGGAAATGTTTGCGGAAACAAATGGTGAATGAAGTATGAAGAAGAGATGACAAAAACATCATGAGAGCTAAATGTAAATGAACTTGCAATTGGATTCATTTCGGTGTAAATATTTATTTAAAGAGAATGCTTTTTTAAATGTGGTTTTGCACAATTTGTGATGTGAAGATATATTTTAAAGTTGATTGGCATTCAACTGATCATCACTAAACATTAATCAACCTTCATCATCATTTATGTGCTGTGTCTCTTCAGGATGTGGGCGCTCATGGCTCTCCACAACTTCCTGTCCCTTGTAGGGAATGAGATAATAAAGTAATATTTGACACTTCACCATTTTTCTTGTCCTTGCTCTGCCATCCATCCACACAAATCCATTTGGTAAGTTGCTTACTGTTTCTCTCTAACCCTCCTTTACTCAATGCATCCTGTGAGTGTTAAGGTTTCTAAGCAATCTTTCCTCATTTTGTGACCTAGAAATTTCAACTGTCTTTTTCTGATTTTTAGTGTGAGTCTCTTTTGAGTTTCCATTTTCTTTAGAACATCCTTGTTGTTCACGTATTCTGTCCATGTTATTTTCAGTATTAATCTGTAGAACTACATCTTTGTTGTTTTGACTCTCTTCTTCATCTTTAAGAAAAAAAATTGTCAACTTTTCAATAATTTTTAAAAACATTCTAATAATCAATCTTCTTCATTCTATGTGCCATACCCCCTTCAGGACATTGGCAAACATGGCTCTCCACGATTTCCTGTCCCTTGTAGTTTCTTACTAAATTTGATCTTTTTACTATCTCTCCTAAACCCTGTTCTGTTAACCATTTACACAAGCTCATAAAGTAGGTTATCTGCTGCTTTGCATTATCACTCTTGCCTTCAATATGCCATGTGAATGTCAAATTTTCTAAGCCCATTTTCTTCATTATTGATATAAAGGAATAACCTCTCACCCCCATGAGTGACTACACTATAAGTAGTAACTACCTATAAGTATCAATGGACTACAGAGTATATCTGGGAACTGTTGAGTATAACTCAGACTTATGCGAGAACTACCAAGCTTCCAATAGTATCACTCACTACTGGATTGACTTGTGATGACCTTGGGCATAACTGTTACCTTTATTCTTATTATATTGGTTTTTTACAATAAATCTTTACTTATTTTATCCATGGTTTTCAAGTATATATTTCTATTAGCATGGAATATAACAATTATGCACCCTAAGAATTTCAACTTCCTCTTTCTGAGGCTAAGCATATGTCCTTTTTGTTTCCATTTTCTCTAGAACCTCATCATTGCTCACATGTTCAGTCCATAGCATTCTCAGTATAGAAGTACATTTCTGTTGCTTCAAGTCTCTTCTTCATCAGTGATGAGATTATCTCGCATTCACTGCCATTTAAAAAGGACAGATATTACACAGAAGCTTAGATTACAGGCCATTAATACTGTAGTAAATTCAATCTCATCGAGGTATTCCAAAATATTTTATCATTCTGTCATACTAAGCCAAGCATTGTAAGCACCTATATTGCTATAGCTTCTTATATAATGTATGATGATTTCTTCTGGGATCATCTAGAGGCCATAATGTTAAAAAGGGTAGTGTTGGAATTGGTATTGTCGAACTATTGGCCTGCATCAGATGATATGGCTGTAGGAGTAGATAAGTTTACCTATTGTCTGGCTCTCTGGTCTTTTAAGAGTAAAGGTTTATCTCTTGTTTGCTATTTAAAATTGGGTTTCAGGTTCCTTCTAAAGTCTTTTGCATTCTCCTCCATCCCCAGTAGGCACTTACATTTTAGTATCATTATCACTTTGCTTGGGGTGAACTGATTAATATATATATATATATATATATGAAGAAAAATATATACGGAAAAAACAAACAAAATCCTTAAATACAATTATGCTGTTTTAATGTTAATATGTCAACGTCGGACGTTTCGGTCTAATAAACCATCTTCAGGACATATTCATAAATTATAACATTATCAATACAACATGGCAAAGACGATGTACATAAGAACAAGACTTATCCAAACAAATAACTGAAAGTTTTATAAGATCAGTGCTTCGTTTAAAACATGTTCATGTTGTCATCACATGGGCGACGCTGTGAAAACGTATTCCTAAAGTCTTGTTCTTATGTACATCGTCTTTGTCATGTTGTATTGATAATGTTATAATTTATGAATATGTCCTGAAGATGGTTTATTAGACCGAAACGTCCGACATTGACATATTAACATTAAAACAGCATAATTGTATATATGATTTTTGTTTGTTTTTTTTCCGATATATTTTTTCTTCATACTGTCGGATCTATATCCATATATTTGCTTATATACATATATATATATATATATATATATATTAATACAGTGTCACGTGACTAAGGGAAATAACCTACACTTTTGGCACTTATTTTTTATTTATATTACCCATATGGGTACGCATATGTATATTTTTGTTATTTATTACCCATTTTTGTGTGTGAACATTACAACCAGACCAATGTCTTCATCTTTGTTGTTATTATCCCTCATCTTTGTTATTATCAATAGAAGGAAAGTGTGTAGAGTTTAGTTGTCTCACCACACCACAGATGTTTCATCAGTGACCATGGCTTGTGTAGCAGTTTTTGGCCTAGTACAACATTCCCCAGGTCTGACAACTGCCATATTCCCCAGATCTCAACCCTTGTGGTAGTTTCCTCTTTCCAAAAATCAAATTCCACTTGAAATGAACAAGGTTTCAAGACATCAAGAAATCCAAGAGAATTTAGTGATTAAGCTGCTTACCATCCCAAAAAAAGGAGTTCCAGGAATGCTTCCATCAGTGGGAATGATGCTGGATAAAGTGTGTGGCTTCAGAACGAGACTACTTAAAGGGAGATTAAATGCTAAATTGATATGTGTTGTAGTTTTCTTTTTAAAGCACCAGTCCTGAAACTTTTTGATCAGTCCTCATAATTAATAAAATTACAAAATAATTTAAATATATTCTTTTGTCAAAAACATTTTATTATTCAGAAAAATATCCAGAAAACTTCTATTACAAATACTTTTCCCTGTCTATAGGATGGTCATCAAGAAAAGAAAAATTAGAAGAAAATACTATTTATAAGAAAGCAAACAAAATTACTATTCCACGTTATTGTCCCCTTATTGTAACCAAAATAAAAGTGAAGTGCAATACCACTCCCTTTTTTCAGGGAAAAAAGGGAAAAGAAAGATATCTCCCCACTCTCTACCACTTTGTGTTGTCTTAAAGAGCTAAGAGCCTGTCACATGATGTTGATGGTCAAGAAGGTCACAAATGAACTGAATTGAACAAAAGTGGGAAGGGAATGTTAGCAAACACTGACCATGACCAAACAATGAATGGATGACCAGAAAGAGAGTGGTGGATATATACGTGACTCATGCAAAGTGAGAGGAGCTGTCTAAATGAGGACCATAGTGAGGGTGCCATTGACAGCTTGGCCCAGAGATCAACACCAGGAGACAATATTGAGAACAAGGGATCTAGGGAAAATCAGGTGTTTGTGGGCTGTGCAGAATAGTGTGTTTGTTGGTCAAAACGAAGGTGAGAGGTCTTCTTATTAAAAGCCCCTCCAGACATATCCTATCCATACTAAATTGCAGAAGAGTGTCCTAGGCAGCAGTTTAAACCAAGATTAAAATGTTTGGATGGTGTGTGCACTGTTTTCTGAGAATGTGATTAAGACCTTTTTGATGAATATTCAAAGCCTTGAGCAGCTGATAAATTAGTGTCAGGCTATAAGGAGCTGTTGAACCAGGATCAAATATGGTGGAGATTAGAAGAGCCATGTTTGCAAATGAACAAGCATGTCCTGTCTTTATCTCAACAAGGACAGACAAACAAAGAGAAGAGAAGATAAGGGAGGGGGAATCTGGATAAATGAAGTTGCCAGTATGAAGTGAAGTAAATGCTTATTGTGCTTTGTGCACCAGTTGTTTCAGAAAATTTGCATGTGAGTTGGAAATAAGGGTTTTGCAGAAGAAGTAGAAGGCTCAAGTTGTGTCTTTTTTTGTCAGGCTGTTTTTGATCTAATTTGTGAAATTTATTTTCTATCCATTTGTCTGCATAAAAATAAAAAGATATGTTATAAAATTGTTATGGCTACTAAAATTCTTCATAATCATTTCTCTTCATTTATTATATATACCTTATGTATGTATATATATATATATATATATATATATATATATATAGATAGATAGATAGATAGATACAGATATATATAAAATATATAAACATCGAGTACAGGTGCTAATAAAAAATAGCGTTTGATGTATAATAACAGAGCCATAATTTTTATCAATAATACATATACATTTTTTTCTCATTGGTATTACAACTCTGAATTTCCTGCACAATGTGATTGTCTAATGCTAATGATTTTATTGTGCTTGAAATTCAGAGTTGTCTTCCGCTGAGGAAAAAATGTATATATTTTTTAATATATATATATATATATATATATATATATATGGAATCAAATATAGACCAAATAATGAGAATCTGGCAGGATAATAGGATAGGGAACAAATAGGAAATGTTTATTGATCTAACATATTTCACTTTTATTAAAGCTTCATCAAAGAATGAGATATGGAGAAAAGGAAGAAAGAAATTCTGCTATTTTTATTTTTGTGTTGTTTGATTTTCATTGGTCAATCATGTTTCACATGCATTCGACTCTTTTAAACCAACATTAGTATAATTTGTAGTATTCTAAATTCAAAGAGTGCTGAAGCATTCATCTGAAGTTTAAAGAAATTAATGGCTTCCAAGCCTACCTCAAAAACAGTAAGTATTGCTTCATATATATATATATATAAGTGTATAAAATTCTAGTTTGTCTAATTGGGATTCAGATGGTAATGTATATTTGTAAATGTGTGTGTGTGTATGTCTAGTATACATTATGTTTGTTGGTTATCCACTTGTTGGTTTGAGAATGTTTTCATGTGCATACTGTTTGTTTTAGATAAACATACATTAGATTTTTTAAGAATTGATTCAGTAAAGGTTGGTGATGTAATATAATGTTTTTGACATGTGCTTAGAGTTGATAATATTGTTATTAGCAGGCTCTCAAAGTACTTTCTCTGTAAAGAATTATGTTCTTTCTTTAAACTAAGGCGGCCTCAGTAATATCAAAGTTATGACCAGTTTTATTTCTGTGTATTATAAGAGACTTTGAATAAAATATATGCATTTATATAAATATAAATACATGTATTTGTCATTTTAGTATAGTCAGGAAAAATTAATAATTTTCCTTATTTAATTAAATAAAAAAAAAATTGTTTAAATTTTGAAAAAATATCTGAAAAAAGAATTTACATCCCTTCACTAATTTCATCCATATGCAACCATAACAAGATACACTATAAATTCTTCAAATGTCAATGAGAATTCAGGATTACAGAAGGTGAGTATTTTATAGATATCTTGGTTGCTTGATTTTGTTTAGCGGCATATCAACACCTCTATGGGTTATTTAATACCAAAATCTAAATAATTTTAACACAATTTTATGGCTTCAACTAAATATATTTTGAACACAATTGTATGCTTTCAACTACAGATAAACTGTATTGCAGGTCATTTTGCTTTAAAAATCTATTGCGCATTTATTTTTATATAAAAATGTATTTTTATACTTTCATAGTGCTATGTTTTTGTTTGGGGTTCACTACCACTTTGGGTCAGAATGGATATAGAAATAACAGTAATTAAGAGTTGGTTCCATGTTCCTCAAAACCTGCAATCAGAAGCTTTGCTGCCAGATGTAGTTTATCATCATACCCAGGACTTATTAGATATGTAATAAAAAAAATCTAATATAAACAATCTGGAAATGAAAACTAAGTAGAAACCTAAACTTGTATTCTTGGTTTCAATCTATGACAATGCTATTGAGCTGCACTGCAAAATCTTGTCTAATGAATAAGAGAAATGATTATTTTTTTCAACTGAGGAAACATTTTAATTTCATGAAAAAAAAATAATTAAATATAAAGTACAGTATTTTTTTGTCAGTTTCAAATGTGCAATTATTTTTTATTCTACTTTTATTTATTTTTATTTTATATATTTATTTTATTTTATATATTTATTTTTATTTTATTTATTCATTTTTATTTATTTTATTATCAATTTATTTTATTTATTATATTATTTTATTTATTATTTTATTTATGTAAATACTTTTAATTTATTATTAATTTATTTTTTATTTATTTTTGTCAGTTTTTCAAACGTGCAACTATTTTTTATTCTACTTTAATTTATTTTATTTTATTTATTTATTTTTATTTTATTTATTTTTATTTATTTTATTTTAATTTATTTTATTTATTATATTATTTTTTTTTATTATTTTATTTATGTAAATACATTAATTTTATTATTAATTTATTTTATTTATTTTATTTATTTTTTGTCAGTTTCAAACATGCAACTATTTTTTATTCTCTTTTATTTATTTTTATTTTAATTATTTATTTTTATATTATTTATTTATTTTTATTTATTTTATTATCAATTTATTTTATTTATTATATTATTTTATTTATTGTTTTATTTATGTAAATACTTTTATTTTATTATTAATTTATGTTATTTATTTTTTTGTCAGTTTCAAATGTGCAACTATTTTTTATTCTACTTTTATTTATTTTATTTTATTTATTTATTTTTATTTTATTTATTTATTTTTATTTCATTTATTTATTTTTATTTATTTTATTATTAGTTTATTTTATTTATTATATTATTTTATTTATGTAAATACTTTTATTTTATTATTAATTTATTTTATTTATTTTTATTTATTTTTTTGTCAGTTTCAAACGTGCAACTATTTTTTATTCTACTTTTAGGACACTTGCCTAAACTTTGTTGTATTGTATTTATTTGAAGTACACCTTTTTTCTGGTTCATTTGGAGAAAAAAATTTAAATGGTGAATATATAGTATTTTTGTTTCAGATTTAAACTTTCCAGTAAAATTACACACACGTACATAAAAAAATCAAATATTCATTCAATGGATAAGGTAAACGATTAATTTTTTTAAATTGAGTCTTTTTAACAAAGGAAACTTTTTAGTGAAATTAAAAAAGCAAGCGAAAGCACTTGTTAGAGTATTTCTTGGTTCAACTATTTTTTATTTTATTTTCATGACTTTTACTTAAAATTTGTTGTATTGTTGTTATTGACAAACGTCAGTCAATCTATTCTCCAAGCTCCCTCAAAATGTATGTGGTGAATCAAGATTTTACAAGTCACTGATGAAGACCAGGTACAATCAACCTTCACCTGAGTTAAGCTTAAGAACATATCAGTTGAATTGAAGCTAAAGATGAAGAGAAAGAAATATGACAATGTAGACAGAACTTGTCATAAAACAACTAATATAAATAAACTGATAACAAAATATTTTTAGTCTGTCTATATTTCTGAGATGAAGTATTATGTACATTATTTACATTATTCGGACTATTGTCCTCATCTTTGTCGCCATATTTATCACAACGTTTCGGCCGTTGACAGATCTGGCCTTCTTCAGGTGGTTGGAATGTCGAACTGAACCCTTTATTTCGCTCAATGGGGCAGACTGTTCTAGTTCCACGTGCCATGTTTGATGGATGTCAGTTATCAGTTATCTCCTGTTAATTTTCCCTCTGAAAGTTATCCACAGACGTAGAAAAGCAGAAGTAGAAAAATCAGGCGTGGCTGACCACATATGGGGAGAGGAAGGAGATCACCGCCCTCTGTGGGATCATGTTGTGGGATCATCAGTAATAAGGAGTGAAAAGCAATGATAACAAAGTTGCAATATGAGCTCTGGTAAAAAAATTCAATGATAACAGCAAAAATTGAAATATGAGCACTGGTAAAAACGGTTGCTGAAGACATTAGGTTTATAATACCCAGAAATTCATATGCAGATGTCTGCAAGGACACATGGCACAGTGAATAAAGGCATTGGTTAAATCCAGTGACAGGACCCAAAGAGTGTGAGTTCATACCCGGTTAAGGCAGTGGAGAACTTTCAGAGGGAAAATTAACAGATAACTGATAACTGACATCCATCAAACATGGCATGTGGAACTAGAACAGAGTGAAATAAAGGGTTCCAACCACCTGAAGAAGGCTGGAGCATACAACGGCCAAAATGTTGTGATAAATATGGCGACAAAGATGAGGACAATACTCTGAATAATGTAAATAAAATATTTTTAGAATTCATTTAAGGAATCATTTTTATGGGTGTAGGTTACTCGTAAAAATTATATTTAAAAGATGTAATTTTTTACAATATATCTTCAAAATATAATATGTAGCCTTTTTAATGTAATTGTTTTTTATTTCAATTTCTAAAAATGTAGTTAAGTTATCACTCATAGATATGTGTAAATAACAATTGAGGAAAGAGATTTGTATGGTTATGCAAAATTTGTGAATCCATGGTGCTATGTAGAGGAGGGGATCAGATGAAACTTAGGACTAAGGAGAAAACTAAATTTGTCGTCATACTTGTGACAATGCTATTGAACTGAGCTGTATTATTTGTCTACAATCCTTACTGCCTTTAATTTTCAAAATAAATCAGAAAATCTTTTTTAAACATTAGCTTCTAAAACATTGATATAAGCTTTATATATGGAAAAAAACCTGTTCATTCAAGAAAATAAGAACAAACAAAAAACAAGAAACTGTATACTTAAAATCAAAATGAAGAAATATTTACAGTCGGATAATAGAACTAAACAAATATTCATTTCAGAAGAGGATCAAATCAAAAATATAGAATCAGGAATCTTTAAGACTTATTGATTTAGTTTCCCACCACTTTTAGCATATTATTCAGCCACACCTACTTTTGGGGGGTTATTATCTTTTTTTTTTACTGTAATTTTCACCCTGTACATGGCCCAGCTGCCACTCAATGTACAGGGCTACATTAAGAGACAGTTTATATTTACTAATATTGAATACTTCCTGGTATATAAGACTTGTTTTCTTCTCTGAGTATATGATTAAGCTTTATTGAAGAATCTTCTTGACCTCAAAAAAATGATAAAGAAGTCAAAAGAATTCGGTTTGAATCCAATATTTTTATTCTAGTAATTAATGTCAGTTATGTGCCATGTGGGATACATGCTTAGGTGATCATGCATCTTTTGATACATGACTGACGAGGCAGATACATTGCCATTTCTTTTTGTATTAGACCAATTGCTATCCAAGGCTATAAAACCCGGTCTGTCCTGCTATTTACTCATAGCTGAGTGAATGTATTTGAATTCCAGTTGAATTTATTACATTCACTTCCATTCAAATCCATTACATTCACTTACGTGCTTAATACCCTTGTGAAAGGTATGAATACTCTTCTTCTCCCCACCCCCCAGCTATTGGTAAATAGCAGAACAGACCGGGCTCTATAGCCTTGGATGGCAACTGATCTACCACAGAAAGAAATGGCAATCTACTGTGGGGAAAAAATCTGTCTTGTCAGTCATGTATTGAAAGATACATGATCACCTAAGTGTATATCACATATGGCACATAACTAAGTATTTAATGGAAACTCTTGTAAAAATAAATTGTAAATTGCTGGTGTTTTCTGAATATTCCTTGTTGAAATGGGGAACAATATCTGGTAAGGAATCATATGACATCCATTAATGTGAAATAGATTTATATGATCAATATCGTTATGACCTTTTATATTTTTTGTTCACTTCCATTGATGTGTTCATCGTGTAACAGTTATTGATATAGAAAATGGAATTGGCAGGCCTAAATAAATTTCTACTGGGTCTGTGGCATTCACTGTGCACTAATGCTCTGAAGAAAAAAATGAATTGACTCTCTCCTCCCAGTTATGGGTTAAATAGTAGGACAAACTGTCCATTTACAAAACTTAGAGACCTGCTTATGTATAAGACTTTGGATTCTGACTATTTAGAACACCTTGACGCCAGATCATTTATGAAAACTATGTGTAAATATCTGCATCTGTTGTATGAGTGTATAAACAAATATATATATATATATATATATATATATATATATATATATATATATACATACATTTTTGTAATTTCAGTCTGATGAGGCAGATATTAAAATCTTATTTGTCAGAATAAATTTATTACCAAATTCTTCAATGATGTGTTAAGTTTTTCCATTCCTGATGTATATTATATTGCTTTGTATATAAATACATTGAGCTCTCTTCATGGATCTATCTTTTTAATATTTTATATTAAAAAGATCTACTTGAATTATCCTTATGGATTTGATATTATTATCTATCTATCTATCTATCTATCTATCTCTCTCTCTATATATATATATATAAAGAAATATAGTCTTAAGGTGTGCTATATTTATGGGATAAAGTGCTCAATATCAGAGATAGAGTGTGTGTTTGTGTGTAAATATAAAGTGAAGTCTGTTTCATGCTATATGCATTGCATAAGGTCTGTTTCAGACTGTCGCATTGTGTTGACTTCTATGTTCACTTTTATATTTTTATATATATATATATATATATATGCATGCGTGTGTATATTTAGGCAGCATATCTTCAGTCAATCATGTCTCATTGAATGATATAGACATATTCCGTCTACTTATTTTTATACTGATCCTTTTTTATTGCTTAATTAGCCTCTTGATGTTAAAACAAAATTCATCAAGGAAGGCACCGTATTTTTTATAACCCAAGTACTTTTGATTTTTTCCAAGATCATCTTCAAGGGTGAATTACAAAGACAAACTTATTGTAACTGCGATAAAATCTGCTTTCTGTTGTGATTGTGATTTTTAAAAAACGCACTTGAAAGCACTCTGTAATTATTTAAAAATATTGAATTTATATTTATATTGTAGCTATGGAATTTTTGCAAAACAATTGTTTCAATATAAAGGAGCTGACCAAATATATATATATATATATATATATATATATATATATATATATATATATATATATACGGGTGAATATGATATATAAAGTCTTACATATCAAAACGATGTTAAGTGACAGAATGATAAAATGGGAAAAATTATATAATGCATTCTTTTTCTTTAAAAGGACTTCAACTAAAATAACTTTCTTATTGATGAAATTATAGAGTACTCCAGCTGATTGGCATTTGTTTACATTCATAAAAACAATACACTAGATTTAGCTGGTTCATTCTGCCGAATGAAGATAGTTCAGTGATAGAAGCTCTGACTGACACCAAATCATTTGGGGTTTCAATCCTGGCTTGAGGCTGTTGGATGTCTAGTTGCACCGAGGTGCTGTGATACAACAAAATAGTACTGTCTGCGAATTATATATATATATATATATATATATATATATATATATATATAATTAAATAATAATAAATTGCAAATTATACTAAATTATATTACATTTTTGCAATATTTACATTTTCATTTAAGCCTAAAATCAACTAATTTTTGGAGCTTTGTCAAAACATGTCATCTTTTCTTGAGTTCAGAATGGCATACCAATCAATATTGACCAGCTAAGAGATGATAAACAATGGTAAAAAGCATTAACATATATTCCTGTGGCTATCTCCCAAGATCCTTATTTTTGCACAATATGAGAACTTATAGGCAAGTCACTAGTGGAACTGAAGTTTTATATACGACATAAACATAAAAAATGAATGGAGACAGGAGAGTCCTTCATATATATATATATATATATATATATATATATAAGGGGATGTAAGAAAATAAAAATATATCATACTTTATTTATATATTTGTTCAAAAAATTATTATCTGATCTTGTAAATAAACTAAATATAGAATGTACAATAGAATGTACGCTAGAATTTTCTTATGAAACAAACAGTACATTACTTTTCTTAGATATCATGTGAAATTGTACTGATAATGATCTAAAAGTAAATGTCTATTGTAAATCTACTAATAAGAATGAGCTCATAAATTTCTATTCACACCATAACAACAAAATAAAATTTGGAATAATTATCATATTCAATTTAAGAGCAGTTAGAATCTGTAGTGATCATTATTTATATGATTAAGAGAAATATATTGAAAATACTTTTAAGCATTTTTAACAGACTAATTATTTCTTATTTAATGCCAAACAGAAAGCTTATCAAATTTATAAAAAATAAGAGAATGAACAATGTAAACCAACTTAATAAAACTAGATATATTATAATACCTATCAACAATATCACATCTACAGCTAAAAAGAATTTATGTATACTTAATATAAAAATTATTACAACTACTTCTAAAACAATGAAAGACTTAATTAATACAAA